CCCTTCTTCTCACACATCGAGTCTAGGTATCACATTCCCCACATTTTCTTCATTTTCTAGGACACCTACACTATTCACTGCACATACAGGTGCACTCACCCTGAACGCAACAACCAGAGCGCAAGCTATGACGGTTGGAAGCCCTGCTACGCCCATAATGATTCCATCATTAAATGCAGGCCACACATCAGCAATCTTCACTTATGCTGTGTCAACACTTACAACCCCCGTAACTGGTCACCCTACCTTTGAAGACGTAAACGTTCTACTCAATCGCTTCCTAGATTCCACCATTAAACCATGGGTGCAAGATGCAATGACCGCTCTAGCACAGGAATTTAGGACCACCCAAGCGGTTCGGTCTGAACAAACACCACTCCAACCTTCCCGTGAACCGTTCATCTCCCATACACAACCCATATTCTCCACCCCTCTATCCCACCAATCCATAAACCAAATTCCCATTCCTTCTCTTTCTCAGGGAACCCAGGATACAGAACCAGTATTCTCCCCACACCCGACCACACCCTCCATCGATCTCTCCTCATTATCCTTCGACACTCTAGCATCGGCTTTGCTGAATAACCTTCTCAACACCCCTGAAGACAAGCTCACTCTTCATCAGCAAGCCATACTTGAAGCCCTTCTTTCTTCACCCGAAACCAAGAGCACTTGCAAGGAGAGTCTTCGTGGTCACAAGCGTTCCCATGAGGACCCCGATGATTCGGATCCTCATGAGGGGGAGAACAAGCGACCTCGATCACTTGAGCAAACTGCTCTACCAAGCCAAACTCCACAGCCCATCCAACCCGAAACCTCAACAAACCAACAGCCACCATCCACAGCCAACTTATCTAGCATGGTCGAGCTATAAATAACATCCCGAGGCGTATCTCCCAGAGATACCAACCGAGGAGGGGATGGAAGTCCTGATGATGTTACCACTGGTACATCTTCTCCATCAGGCCATCAGTTGGAACCTAGTTCTAAGCTGATGTCAACGGGCAATCCAAGTGAACCCGGTAGTGCTACTCAGGAACAATCACCGCCTCAACAAAGAGTTCCATATATTTCCCCAGGCAAAGACATCCATGATGCACTGGAGGAGGCAGTGATATATGACAAATGGCCGAGAAAATGGACAGAATGGGATGATCTTCGGAATGAGGCCGAACAAGAGGATATGCAAAGAAACTGGTGGCTGCGAGAGCTAATTAACAAATGCTCTGAAGATATCATAAGGCTCGAGGACGATGAACGCAAGGAAGGGGAGAATTACAAAGAATCCCAGAAAACTCTTGAATCGGTCGTAAGACAAACAGCGGGAAGACTTCCCAAGACAGAGAAACTCTGGGATAATGTTCGCATCAAAGCCCCCTTCCAAGAAGAAATCAGAGAGCTAATCTGGCGTAGACCAGACAGAGTCAAGCCACTGAATGAACTGAAGCTAAGAGGCCTTACTCACTTAAAAGGAAAGCAGACTGGAGGTCATCTGCATATGTTGCTACAAAGGTCAACCGGTACACAGAGAGAACTGATGGAACAAGATCTGAAGTCGAATATTCTCCCGATTCATCAAATTCTACAAGTGAAGGCTGAAGACTATCATGGAGTAACATTCTACACTTACAGACTTCAACGCACCGATGGGAGCGAATTTACTTGTCAAGAGAACGACTTCATCATGCTGAAACCGGATGACATCTACCAAATGTTCATGGCCTACAGATACCTTCGAGTCAGGCAGAGCATAATATACAACGAAGGCCTCGTAGCTATCAAGAGATTCATGCTTAGACAGATCCGAGTACACTCTTCACATGACCTACAGATGGCTATTGAGTGCAATCTGAAAAAGACAAATCTGACAAAGCCAAGACTGTATGGTCCAGAACTTGAAGATTTCCCAGCCTACCACATCTTCTTCACACCGCCAGCAGTCACCTATCTGAACCACAAGAACGAAAAACGTCTGATGGTAGTCAGTGAAATTGAGAAGTACTGTGACGGAACACTGAAGATAATCAAAGAACAGATTCTAAAGATGAAGGCAGAGCTAGAGGAAAACCTTCAAGAGGCATCGTCTTATGTTCAAAAGGAACACTCTACAGTAGAGACAATTTTAAAGGCCATTGACGATCGCCTCGAAAAGAGAAATGTGCTGAGGCAATATGAACATGCACTTGGTATGAGGAAGCACTACTTCAAGTCTCAGAAGCAATAAGAGAATGGCACTTGATCACAAAGGGGGAGATTGTTGGAGATATTTAATTGTGAATCAAGTTGGTCATAGATTAGCTTTATATTTAATCCTTGTATTTAATTAGTGCATGAATTAGATAGAAATCAGGCCAAGTGTTAGGCCCATATAAACAGGCTAAAAGCCTGGTACGCCTAACCTAAACCTCGCCTATAAAAAGGGAGTCGAGGTTTAGGAATAGGTTAACGTCGTACTTATTCTTCACAGCCTTACGCGCATATTCTTATGTTGTACGAGTTCACGGTTTATCAAAGAAGGTTTTACGGTGATTCATTCTGTATTCATCCTTACGTTTAATCTTCGTTGTTAGATCGTTATTCATTGCTGTTACAGAAACAAGGACTAACAATATACTTAGATGTGACTCATCCACCCGATGATACATACTGTGTATATATATATATATATATATATATATATATATATATATATATATATATATATATATAATACCCAACCCGTAGGTTATTTCCTTTAAAGAGTCTTTTAGAGATAAAGTTCTTACCTGACTTTACTCACTCCTTTCCCGGATGCCTAGCTCACAAGCTATGGTCTACCTTCGATTCATACTACCGAGTGTTTTAGGATCATTTACCGTCCAAGGCACTCAACCCAACCTGGAGTATTTAGGATCATTTACCCTCCAAGGGCACTCAACCCCACCTGGAGTATTCTGGATCATTTACCGTCCAAGGGTACTCGACCTCACCTGGAGTATTCTGGATCATTTACCGTCCAAGGGTACTCAACCCCACCTGGAGTATTCTGGATCATTTACCGTCCAAGGGTACTCGACCCCACCTGGAGTATTCTGGATCATTTACCGTCCAAGGTTACTCAATCCCTGGTCTATGCTCTACCAAATCCTAACCTGGATGTGGCTAATGTTTCATTCCTTTAACTATGGACAATGCCTAGCCCTATAGTCATATAACAATCCTTAGGAACCAACGTGGGCGGGTCCCACCTGAATGACCCGCGTTAACCTACTCAAAACTGCTCGTTTTGAGCATAACCCAATACTCGATCGAGTACTCACCTATACTCGGTCGAGTATAGGAGACCGTAGTCCGTAAGGCCAATTTTTGGTGTATACTTGATCGAGTACCTACCCATACTCGATTGGGTATAGAAGATAGTAGCCCCCGGGACAAAATTTCAGCAAATACCCGGTCGGGTATAACGGTTAACTTGGCGGTCAACGCCCGTTTGACCGCCCAAACGAAGTCCGATTAACGTGAAATTTTACATGCAAGTACTATTTGACGTCCTTAATCCAAAAATACCTGTTTGGTTCCTTGGAACATCATACATATCAATCTATGGTAATTTCACCAATCAAACCTATAAATCATGCTTTCCAACTATGTTATATTCTTTAACATAACATAACACATACTTTAATACCATTAATCAATTCATAAAACATATTCTTGATTAATTTAGGTAATCTCATGCCTCACGCAAAAGTTATAAAGCATAAAGCCGTCTTCTCACCTTAAATGAAGCTTATGAAGTTCTAGCCTTCCTTATTGAGCTCCGGCGAAACTCCGGCGAACTTCAACGAACTCCGGCGACAATTCCGGAGACCCTTTCAACTTCGTGAAAGTTCCTTGAATACCTTAGACAAGTTACTAACAAGGTTTTATAACAATAAAACCTATATTAATACGAATAACCTCCAAAAGGTTATTTTCCGGCGAACCGGACACTTTGGCTTCTAAGTCCGTTCTTGGACTTAGAACTACCTTCCACCTCCTCATTCTACACTTCCAAACATGTAGAACAATCCTAGGGTGTGAAATATTACTGGATAATCATATAAAATGATTGAAGAACAAGAAATGGGATTAATGGAATCATTACCTTGTAAATCTCAAGTTTTCCTTCCTAACTTCCCCTTTTCTCTTCTCTTTTTCCTTCCTTCTTCCTCCCTTGTTCTTGGTGCGTGTATGGATGGTAACAATGAAGTTTTGCAGACCTTATCTCTCTTCTTTGAGTAGGTTGGCCGAGCTATAGGAGTTGGGGTGATTGAGAATGCCTTTTTGGCATTTCTCGCAATAATATTTTGGCCAAAGACCCACCCTCATATGGATTGGTCTCCCAATCAATTTCCTTCTTGCTTCCCCTGCTCTTGTGCGGCTCCTCTTGCCATTTGCAAGACTAAAAACGTGGGTTGGCCCCCACTTATGTTGGAGGTCAACCCTTTGTGTACCCGAGTGTACAATCGGTCTCGAAAGTTGTATTTTCCGAACTGTTTTAATTCTATTTTATTCTATCGTGTCAAATAAAATATAACACTTGTTCCCAATCCTTATTGGACCTTAGAGGGAATATGTATTCCTCAACTTTAAGTTAGAAGTCTCCGAAATCCCTTTTCGGGCTGTTATCTGATAAATTGCTGATACTGATAGTTTGGCACCGTTTGACCAACCGGTCAACCCTATGCCATTGCCATGGCCCAATTAGGATATCCACCACCATATGCATATTATCTAGGCCAAGATTAATATAATATGTGGTCCCGACAGTACCGGGCGGCCCCCACTTCCGGTGTGGCCCCACGTGAATTTTACTATTCACGTAAAAGAAATGATAAAAATTTACAATCACGTAAAATGCGCTTATTCATTTCTCAGAGTTCAGTACATAATTTGATAAAGTATAAATACTTGGGGGCGGTGTTACAAAGTAAACATAATCAACAGGAAATAATCAACGATCTTGAAAATACAATTACCTTTGAAATGGCGTAGGGATGCCCACAGTTAGCCTTGACTGTGTGACGTCAATCTTGCTCTTGGTCACTACCACGTCTTAAAACACATTAACAATCTTTAGATCTAAATTTATCTTAATATCAGAAAAAAATTCATTACATGCTTGACAGGGTACTTATATTTTTGGAACCAATCTTGAGAGTTTGAGGAATCGTGTAGGGTAAATATAAACAAGTGCGATCGAGGTTGGGGCCTTATCAAGACATGTATGAGGCAATACCAAATAAACAATAAGTATCTAACAAATTAAGTAAACTGGAATGAATATTTACGAAAATAAAGTTCAAACTGCAAAAGTTAAGTATTAATTAAGTTCAAGTATAGCGGTCCGTAATTAAGTCAATTGATCGAAATGTTTTTTAGACTAACAGTCCTTAATGATCACAGTTTTTTAGACTAACAGTCCTAACCCATTTGCAAATCCTCCTTGACCTGTGGAATCGGTAGAATAACAAATAATAGGCACAATCCATTGTAAAACAAAGTATTTATTCCAATCAAGTAAGATGTTTATAATTCAACATAGTCAACAACAAAATAGTCAACGCTCTTGAAAAATAAAACCACCTTTGAAGTTCTGTATGGAACCCTAGTGTTAGCCTTGACCGTGTGATATAGATATTGCTCTTTTACCACAAACACGTCTGAAAATCACTGCACATCTGTTAGATTAAAATGCATCTTAACATTTGAAAAAAAATCAATTGATGATTGAGTGAGTACTTATCTTATTCGAAACAATCTTCAATTCTTGAGGATTAGTGGAGTGTAAATATAAATAGGTTCGAACGAGGTTGAGTCCGCATCAAGACATATAGGAAGCAATATCAAAAAAACAATAAGTATTGAAAAATTTACTAAATTACAGTGAATATGTACGAAACTTAAGTATAAACTGTGAAAAACAATATATCAAGTAAGTATAGCAAAGAAAACAGTATGAGGCTTACCGGATCTGTTCAAACGCAGTTCATTGAAAGTTGGCCTTCGTTTGCCGGATCTAAGAACAAGATGACATAGCCGGCGATGAGAGTGATATCTGGCGATAACAAGGATCGAAATCCAGAAGAAGGCCGTTGTGCGATATGTGCAGTGGGAGGCGGTGGGCGAGATGTGTAGAGGGAGGCGTCGAGCAACGGTGGCAGGCATCGAGCGAATGGCGGAGGCAGACGTCGAGCGAGCGGCGGAGGCAGACGTCGAGCGAGCGGCGGAGGCAGACGTCCAGTGAGCAGCGGAGGCAGATGATGGACGAGTGGCGGCTGAGAGGGCTTGGGATTTGGATCTGACTGTGCGACCACCGCTCGAGAAAGGAGACACTCATTCCCGATCCCTTTGTCTATACTATTGTTGTGGTTTAGCTATCCCCAGAGCAGATATTTAAAAACTACTACGTATAAATTAGTTGTTGTGGTTCTACCGTGACCGAAGCAAAAACTTCTAAATTATTATTTAATTGCTGCGGTTAAACAACAAACGCCGCAAATACTCCCAAATAAATTCCCTATTTGATGCGGTTTCATTCGAACCGCAACAAATAACTCAAAAATATAGACTATTTGTTGTGGTTTCTTGACGACCGTGGCAAAGAGGTAGCAAAAAATATAGAAAAATCTAGTAGTGATAAGGCGGGTCGGGCGTAGTACGGAGGCAGAGTACGGAGACAGAGTACTGCGACAGACTAAATCGATGGAACTGTTGAAGGGTGCTCTGGACTAAATTGATCGAACTCAGGTGACAGAGTACATGCTCTAGCTCTAGATGAAGAATCGGCCAGTTGAGAAGAATATTAGCGACGAGTACGGTGGCAGAGTAAGACAAAGATGAAAATCGACTCTGTTGAAGGTAGGGTTACATTTGTGCGGCTCTAGCTCTGGAAGAATGAACAGATCGCTGGAAAAATATTTTAGTGAGATATGAAAAACCTGAAGTGTAATGCAAAAAACCCAAGTGTTAGCTAAGTTAAAAAATCTTAAAGCTCACCTGACCCATTAAGTGTCACTATTTGATAGTGAATTTTTTTTGTTAGAAATTAGTGAAACTTCTATGTCATTGGTAGTATTCTATCATAAAAGTGTCACTACAAAAGTGTCACTGTAAGCTTGTTTTTTTTATTAGTGTGATTTAGGAAGTAAGAAAACAAACACTCATTCAATTCTCTATAGTTGATCTGGTGCAATGTCCACTTGATGGATCGCCAAGTATAAGATCAGGTGTATGAGCGCGGGTCCATTTTCTGACGTGAGAGTGTGACTGAGTTGTGTTGTTGGGTTGCTGATCAACATAATGTGTATCTATTTTAGGAGTGGACGAAGAGGAGGGTTCAATAGTTTCTGGTGGTGTGTTCTCACTTGATGGCGCAATTTCACTTGTTGTTGTAGATGTAGATGTTGTAACAGTAAATGGTGTTGGTGGTGGAGAAGATGGGTCATGAATGTGTAGGTTCTCATAGATTTGGCCAAACAGCACGTGAAGATCCATAGTGTTTGAGTTTGATGAAGGAGATGTAGATGGTAACTGTGCTAAAACTCCAGTGATAGTGGGCTCTAAACGGAGATGTCCAGAAGCCTGTTCTTCCTTCTCATCAAATGTCACATTGACGCTTTCTATGACTTTCTTTCTGTCTCTGATCTAAACGCGGTATGATTTGGAGGAAGGTGAGTAGCCAATGAACACGCCTTCAAATGCTTTCAGGTCAAGTTTGCTCCGATCTTCTTTGTCAGTAGGAACGAGACACTTGCACCCAAATACTCTCATAAATGAAACATTGGGGGTACGACGATTGATCAGCTCATACGTAGTCTATCCAAACCTTTTATGAATAGAGGTCCTGTTCAGAGTGAAGCATGGAGTGTTGATAGCTTTAGCCCAGAGAAAATGTGGAAGTTTGGAGTGAATAAACATGGTTTAAGCAGCTTAAACAAGAATCATGTTCTTTCGTTCAACTACCCCATTTTTCTGTGGGTCTTTGTTGCAGAGAATTGCTGAATGATTTCATGAAGCTCGTAGAACTCACTGAGTTTATGAATATTGAACTCAGTGCCATTATCTGAATGAATGAAGAGAATGGTTGCCTGGAGTAGATTCTGAGTGGTTCAAATGAAGGTGATGATGATGTCTGCATCTTTTGTGCGTAGGAAGCGGATGCATGTGCATCGTGAGTAGTCATCTACTATCACCATAATGTAGATGCCTTGTGAGAGACTCTTTTCATTTTTCCAAGTGCGCAAGAGTCGCACAAATGATTATTCTGAGTGTGTAGTGGTGGAACACCTGTGACAAGTTTCTTTGATGACAATGTATATAGATCCCTATAGTTTAGATATGACATCCTCTTGTGTCACAGTTGATTTTGTTTAGTAGAAGCTCTTGACAGCAGACAAACATCTGTAGAGGAAGAAATGGTTTTCCCATGTTCATCTTTCACACAAACCGTTTAGCTCGGAATAGAACTTGCATCCCTTTATCGCAGAATTTACCAATGCTAAACATGTTGTGTGCCAATCCAACAACGTATGACACATCTTTGATACTAACCTTTGTGTTACAAATGTCTCCATATCCAAGAATATGAGCGGACTCGTTGTTTCCAAATCTGATTTTTCCACCGAACTTGATGATGTAGTTGCTCAACAACTGTTTCTTCCTAGTCAAGTCTGTGGAGCAACCGAGCAACCAGAGACAAGATACCACACATGACTGACCTACAAAAATTAAGGAGCCTTAGGTACCCATTTAAGGATGGGCCCGTCTTGTTTATGCAAAGTATTATTTAAAGCAGGCTCATTTGTTCTATTCTTATGAATCTAGACTTGTTTGACCATAGGAACTTGCAGAGGAATGTTCTAATTAAGTGAGTGATTATTTTTTAGATTAGTGAATATTTTCTCTCTTGATAATCTCTTAAGAAGTTTGATTGAATAATTTTTCCATGGATATTTTAAACAAACACCATTTCAAGTAAAGAATGTAACACAATCATTATCAACATCAATATCACTCACATCACATTTAGAAACATGAGAATTTAATTTAGCAGAATCACATGAAACAGAGTCAATAGAACTAGAATGAGAATGAGAAAATCTAGGAGAATTTTCTGAAATAGAACTAGAGGAACTAAATTCTGAACTAGAATGAAAACAATTTCTAAAACTATTACAAGACTTTTCAACAACGATTTTTGAGATCTTTGTGGGTTGCTCAAGTTTTGTCTCCCTACTCACAACTTTCTTCGGAATCCAAGTCATCCTTCATGCATAATGGTTAGAAAAAGATTCGCCTTTATGGGGAGTTGGAGATGAGGATGAGTCCCCATATCTTGAAAAATGAATTTTCTTTTTATTCTTTTCAAAAAGGGAGTCTACATGAGATGATGAGCTTTGAGAGTGATTTTCCTTTTCTATTTTAAACTTCTCACCTTCTTCTTCTAAGAAAGAATGAAGATGAGTCATTTTCTTAATAATTTCAGGAAAATATGGTTCATAAACTTTTGGTGTGGATGCTTCATCCTCTCTAGACTCAGTTTGATTTTGAGGAGGAAGAGGGAAAAATAGTCATTTAACATAGGAATTTCTCTAGCTGCATAACTTTCGTTTAGAGCAGAATAATCAAAACCAATTTTAGTTCTAGCTCTATTCTTTCTTTTGTCCTCTTCTTCCTCATTAATTTCAGATTTACTCGGGAAAAACATCAAACTAGTTAATCCTAATCTCATGTACCTTATGCCATAAATTTGACACGAGTTAACTTTCTCTAAGTTACGTGGGTTTTAGAAACCAAGTCCTTTTTTAGGATTATAAAACTCAATGTCTTTGGGTTGATTTAAGAGGAAAACAGTTAGTTCAGATTGTTCCTTAAATATTTGATCAATGGAGAGAATAGCTTCAGAACGTTTTCGCTTAGTGTCTTCTAGTTCCTTAGTTAAGTCAAGAGCGTTTTCTTAATTAAGTTTAACAACATATAATTCTAATCTAGTAACATTTTCTTGTGAGTTTGTTAAGAGCAAATTAAGAATACCCCCTTTTACTAAACGTGCTTTCAAAACATTCTCATTATTAGCAAATCTCTCTTCAAGTTCCTTTCTCATTGATGGAGTTATGGAACTAGGCCCAGAGTCTAATCAGCCCAAGCCCCGAACTTGGACCCGTGGATCGAAGTCCACAACTTGGAGCCTGTCTGCCAGTCCAGCGGGGAGCCTGCTAGTCCGACCGACCTCCCAGCCCGGAAGAGTAACGGTCAAGCAATTAATGTGCTATTGATTATGTATTTAATTCTGTATTAATGTTGTAATTAATTAGTCATTATTATCAGTAGCGGTTACGATTTGTATACGCTTATAAAAGGCGGGTTGTAATCTCCTAGCTACTTTCCATTCTCATTCTTGCTTTCCTAAATTCTGGTTGAGTGTCATACGTAGCTTTCCTAAAAGTATACGAGCGTCCTATTTTAGACCAACATTGGTGCTTTCATTGAGAGTCTCTATTTTCTCTCACAACACTTTAGTAGGAATTGACCAAGGAATTTGAGAAAAAATGGACAAATATTGAAGGTTTCTAGCATTTTTCAGGCCTGTACTTCAAAACCTGGAAAAAGAATGAAAAAATCAATGGAGGTGTGGAAGAAAAGAAATAAAGAAATCTGGAATTTTTTCAGATCCTTGCGCAGTCCGAAATTCGGTAGACTCTGTAAACCGGAGCAGCCGTGGATATTGCGAAGCCCGCTCACCTTAGCGCACGACCTGGAATTCTCCGCGTCGTTCCAGGTCCCTGGTCGCCGTTTTGAATCTCACCTGCGCTATGACAGTGTGCTTCGTCGGCCGCATCGAAGTGGCGGCCACCCCAATTTGGAAATCGTCGTGGGCACGGCTGATGGCATACCTCAGGCCGGAGAACCACACAGGTTGGCTGCCTTCCATCAGGTACATGGCGACGCCTACATGTCATGGCCGGACTCAGGTTTCACCTAGGCCTGAAATTAATCTCCCAGTGCTCTGTAGCTGTTGACCGAACCAAACCCGCAGTTGTGGCCTCCATCGGCCGTCACCAGCAACTCCATCGTCATTTGCCTCTCCCACTCGCCTCCATTTCCGGCGGCTGCTGTGAACGGACTGGTCGGCTGGGGCATCTCCAATGTTGGGAGGGTCACCTGGGTGTATAAGAATTAAAGTTCTTAGTGAGACAGGCCACATTTTAGCCCCAATGGAACTCTTAGTGGGCTGCAATTTCTGCAACACACCCAAGCTTCAACCCATTCCAAAAGTTAAGTGCTCGCTTTCCAAATTTTTATTAAAAAAAATCATAAATTGAAACACTTGAAGAGAAAAAATTAAGTGGTATAATTGCTTTTACTCTTGTTAAGCGTGTGTAATTTTAACATTTTATACGGACTTATGGTATTCGATCACTTGCGTACATCGGGCGAACACACACATTCGTACACCGGCCGAGCACACACACTCGCGCCACCGGATCACGTCATATGAGTGTGACGATTACTAAGCTCCAATATAAATGTTAATACCGCACACCCTTGACTTCATACGAGTTCTTGCGTGCTCTTACCTCTTCTTAGTGCATCACACTCCGACCTCGGGGGACGAGTCACCCGTTCAAAAGTCTTTACTTGCGGGTTCGAACTACTAACCTTGGGCGGCGAGTTAAACCCTTGTTAGGGGCCTAGAGCCACGCTTCTCTGAGCAATTTTGTCACTTAATTGACATTCACATTTCTTGCAATGGTTGATATACTTTAGTTCTTTGGGGCTAGATTATCCGTTCAAGTGAGGAGTCCGCCTCACTTACTCATGTATTCAATCGTTCTTTCAGAGATTGGGTTGAGGCCTAACTTGGGAACTTGATGTCACTCTTTTGAAGTAGTGAGTCTGACTCACTTACATACTGATTTGTGGTTTGACACCAGGCCAGATGCTCTATTCTACACTAGTTTCTTTTATGTGTAGGTACAACTGAATGAAGTGGGGGATTGAGGGTCTTACCGTCTTCAAGAAAGCAAATGACGAACCTGACGGGTCTGGGCCTGACGAGAAGAACAGTTATAGACATCATATTCGCAGATGGCGACCATTGCAATAAAGGCTGAGGATCTCACCTCTTACCTCATCTTGGGGGCGTCAGATGTACTCTTTTTCCCTTCATTAGGATTTTTCCCATTGGGTTTTTTCCTAATGAAGGTTTTTAATGAGGCATCTCCCCAACATGGACAAGGGCGGGGATCTTCCAGTCTCGGAGAAGAGCAACTGACTTGGACTACTCCCTCCTAGCCGAGTCTACTACTCGACTAAGGGAGTGGGGGACTCGTGATGGAGTTATGGAACTAGGCCTAGAGCCTAATCAGCCCAAGTCCCGAATTTGGACCCGTGGATCCAAGTCCACAACCTGGAGTCTGCCTACCAGTCCAGCGGGGAGCCTGCTAGTCCGACCGACCTCCCAACCCAAAAAAGAGTAACGGTCAAGCAATTAATGTGCTATTGATTATGTATTTAATTCCGTATTAATCTTGTAATCAATTAGTCATTATTATCGGTAGCAGTTACGATTTGTATACGCTTATAAAAGGCAGGTTGTAATTCAGATTAAGGGAGGCAATTTCATATGCTATTTCTGGCAACTAAATCTCCTAGCTACTTTCCATTCTCGTTCTTGCTTTCCTAATTCCTGCTTGAGTGTCGTACGTAGCTTTCCTAAAAGTCTACGAGCGTCCTATTTTGGACCAACAATCATGTTCCCCTCTTTCTTTAAAGAGGAAATTTGATCATTCAGTTTAGTGCATTGCTCAGTAAATAAAGAGTTAAAAGTACTTACCTCATTCTAAGTAGATGAAGAATTGGTATCTTCCTTTGAGCAATCATTTTCACTTTCAGCTTCTTCTTCAACTCTAGCCATCACCGTTCAATTCTCTTACTCACTGTCATCTGAGTCCTCTAGCCAATGATCATGTGTGGACATGAGAACTATTCCTTGTTCCTTCTGCTTGGCAAGTTGTGCCTTTTGAATGTAGTGGTTGTAATCTTTCTTTTTGGTTATCCTGCATTCCTTGGCAAAGTGACCACGCTTTCCACATTTGAAGCACTTCAGATGATCACCACTGATAGCTTTATCAGAAGGTCCACTGGTCGACCTTGTTGGAGTATTTGAATGAAGAAGTTTTTGTTTGTTTGATGATGATAGAGATTTAAAATTCATGAACTTCTTATTCATTTTCTTTGTGAGATTAGTCAACAGGGCCAAATCCTTTTTCATCTAATTAATATCTAGGTGAGAACCACATGAATTCTTTTCTTCATCGGACAAATCATCTTCTATAGCAATAATTTTAGGTGTTTTCTCTCTTTTCTCTCTATTAGAAGATAGAGGAGCTAGAGAGTCAACATGATTCTTTTTCTTTAGAAGTTTTTACTTTTTCAAGTACATCCTCATAGAATTCACCTAGGTAGTCATACACATTGTAAATGGTAAGCTCATCCAAGTCCTTTGATTACCTGTTTCTCTTAGCAGTCTTCTTCCATTCAGACTTCAGTGATCGCAGAAAATGCAGATTAACCTCCATGTTGGTCTTTTGAATGTTGATCTTCCTCATTTCATTTGGGACCATCAGATAACGTTGATGTGTGTCTTCAAGGTCTTCTTCAGCTCTTGCAAAGAATGAGTCATAGGCAGATAGGGTGTGAGCTCGTTTAGTCTTTATTCCAACATCAGTTCCTTGCATGATCTGAGGAATCTCATCCCATATTTCTTTGGCGGTTGTGAGGCTGTCAATTTGCGTAAAGATATCATTAGGGATGGATTGGAGCAGATATGTTGCAACAAGCAGATCAACTCTAGTTCTTAGTTTTTCAGGTTCAGTATACTCGCTCTCAGGTTTTGGAACATTTCTTAGAAGAAGTTGAGGATTGTTGGTGGGATCACCTGGAACATCCACCGAGGATTGTTGGTGGGGTCACCTGAAACATCCACCGAATATTTAGTTATCCTCAAGTAAATACGGAGTATGCGGGAAAACAAATTCGTAACAAAATGTAAAACAATTTTCTCCAACTAAATGCATAGATTTACTTCCACACAAATTTAGATACGCCACACTAACCATCAAACCATGACAAAAGATCCGACACGTTTATTTTCATTATATGTGAAAAATACTTGCAAAACAATTACTTATGAAAAAGTGACTAGAAAATCGCAGCTAAAATCTCCCCGTCCTGTGAAGCCATATGTACCCATGATTTTAGCAACGGATTATTGAAGTCGCCAAAACTGTTTTGGGGCTCTCAAAGATAAAAAAAACATTTGTTACAAAATATGAAACTATTATCTACAAAAAAAAGCACAAGAAATCTTTACAGCTATTTTCATATTTTTTAGTAGTGAGGGGCTGTGAATAGAATTTCTCATTAGTTAATTCTTAGGAGATTTACCTAAATAGGACTAAATAAAAGTATAATTGTATAAATAGGAGTTTAAAGTTTAAATTCCCAAAATAGGACTAACTCTTCCTATTCTATCCTTTCCTTTGTAAAAAATATAATCATTATAAAATATAAAAAAATCAAAATTAAAAAATAAACATTGTAAAAAATAATTAAAAAATATACAGACCTCAACCACCGCCTTAGCCACCTTCCAGCACCGCCACCTACGACCGCCGGAAAAGATTGCCAAACGAAATCCATCCCCAAAAGAAATTCGAATTCTTTAACTCCACCTACACCAAGTCAGAATTTTTGCTCAACCAAAAAGAAAATAAATGACACCAAAAAGGGCAAAGGGATTCATTCTATTGCACATCTCGGACACAAGCACTAGGGACAGTGCTTTGGTTAGCTTGGGAGGAGAGTTTTATGGAATACTCACATTCATACTCTTTATTCTTGTTAAAAAAAATTAAAAAAATTAATAAAAGCTTGTTAAGTTGAAAACCTGAAAGGGCAACTTAAGCAAAAATAAAGCAAATATGTCACGCCCCGGACCTAGCCAGACACGTCAACAACCCGCCGTACAGTACGAATAGCCAACCGCAGTCCAACTCATCCATACTATACAAAGGCGTCATGAATATCATTCACACATAGTACATCCATAAACAAACATAATGTAAATCATTCATTTAAAACAGCGGAAACAACATTACAAGTGTTCAAGCCACACTTGGCAAACATGGGTATACAAACCCCCGAAGTGTACATTCAGAAAATAATATCCATGAGCATTATTCATATTGTTTTCAAAACAAGAACGGAAGAAGCACGAACCAAGTCTTCTTCTCAGAAACTTACCGAAACAGCGGCTGGTAGTAGCAACCTTCAAGTTCTACCTGAAACTGTGAGGTGGCCTCCCCCGTGAAGGGGAGGTCAGTACTTGGAAGCATTTGACAAGTACAATGACAACTATACTAAGTATAATCGAAGTTTAAATCTCTGAGGCCCTCAATCTAGGGCATTATTACATTATAGTTAATCCGTTCATTTAGTATCAATTCATCATTTATTTACTACGGTCTAGAGCCCAGCTCATAATCACCGTTATCTACTACGGTCTAGAGCCCCGCTCATAATCACCGTCATCTACCACGGTCTAGAACCCAGTTCATAATCACCGTCATCTACTACGGTCTAGAGCCCAACCCATAATCACCGTTATCTACATCGGTCTCGAGCCCGGCTCATAATCACCGATTCTTTATAATTCAAATTCTTAGGATCTAATTCATCCATTTCTCAACTAACATTTCCAACTAATGTTTCAATGCTAGTTATTTATTTATTTCAATATAATTCTTCCTTCATGCATGATTGGCCTTAATATCAAGTATCACTTTTATACCTTCATGACTTCTCTTCATGGTATCAAAGTATACTATCTCAAATGAAATTCATGGTTGGCACAACCATCATACACTCATATTCATAACATCTAAACATACACAATTTATTCATAAATTTGTATATCATGCATACTATACTTGTAATCAATAGTAGTTTATTTAGGCATTATTAACCATTAACAACCCATGCATGCACATCACATTTGTATTCACTTAGGAAATCCCATGAAATTAACCCAAAGATTATAAGCAACATAGTCGGTTATCCTCACCTTAATTAAGCTTAAGCGCGTTCTACGCTTCTCGATTGAACTTTGACTAATTTCGGCGAACTTTGACCAACTCCGGCGAACTTTGACCAACTCCGGCGAACTTTGACCAACTCCGACGAAACTCCGGCGAAGCTCAAAAATACTTTAAATCAAGTTCCTAACAAGGTTTTATCATCACAAAACTCATATCAACACAAATAACCTATAAAAGGTTATTTTCCGGCAAACCGGTCGATTTGGCTTCTAAGTCCGTTCTTGGACATAGAACCACTTTCCAACCCATAAATCCATACTTAGAACATGGAGAACCATCCCAAGGGTTCTTCATATAATAAATATGCCTCATGGTAGAAGAAGAATAAAGGGAAAGCTATGGCAAGGTGATTACCTCAATTTCCACACTTTCCTACACCTTTTTCCTTCTCCAAGCACTCCTCTTTGAATCCTCTATCTTGAGCTCGAATTTGGGTGTGAAAATGAAGAGTTTCAGAGCTCCTCCTTGCTATACTAGGGTGCTGCTACGAGTGGGTGGAGGTGGTGAGGTGAGAGGGGTGGTTTTTGTCTCATTTAGACAAATGAGTGAAGGGATGGGGTCTACTAAATGTCAAAGGGTGTCTCCCCCATCCTATCAATTGTTATTCAGACAACTTAGCACTCATCCAGCCCCCAAGGGTTGACAAATTCGTGGGGTGGCCCCCACCCATGTGGGAGGTCATCCAAATTTGTCCCTTAGTGTACAATTTGCCCCGAAAGTTGTATTTTCCGGACTGTTTTTAGATATATTTTATTTTATCGGGTTAAATAAATATATTACGTGTTCTTAATCATTACAACATTTAGAATGAATATGCATTCCCCAACTTTAATTTATAAGTCTCCAAAATCCACTTTCGGGCTTTTATCTGATAAATTTTTCGATACCGGTATTTGGGCCTCTATTGACCAATCGGTCAACTCTGGGCCTCTCCATGGCCCAAATGAAGTATCCACCATCTATAAATATTTTCTAAACCCAGATGAATATAATATGTGGTCCCGATAATATCGGGCGGTCCCCACTCCCGATGTGGGCCCCACGTGCATTTTCCTATTCACGCGAAAAAATTAATACAAATTCACAACCTCGTAAATTCACTAAAAATTTCATAGGGTTCAATAAATTATTCGCTTAAAGATAAATACATTTGGGGACGGTGTTACAAAATATAAGAGTGAGCTGTGAGGATTAAAATAGAAAAATGTGGGAAGCTGAGATGAAAACCCGAAAGGGCACCTAGGCAAAATGAGAGAATGAGAGAACGTATTTTCTTTTATTTCTGCAGGATCCTAAGGGTATCGAAAAAAAAAGTTGAGGTTGATAAGAAATATGGAGTTGAAGACCCCTCTTTACTGTTATATTTTTGTGGATATACTTTATGTGTTTCTAAAAATACTCTTGGATTTTTGTGTTGATACTCTTGTCATTTTAAGGATTTCTTGGACTGGATTTGATTTACTCGAGACGAGTAAAGGTTTAAGTGTGGGGGTGTTTGATATGCACTAATTAGTAGTGCATAAGTGTATGTTTTTATGTTGGATTTGTGTGTATTGTTTATCGTTTTATTTAGTTTGTAAACATTTGTGTGATTTTAATTGTAATTGTATTTTAATCTTTATTTATAAGTTGTTAAGTAGATTTATGATTTATGGTGTTGGAAAAGAGGACTTTGAAGAGAAAAAAACAAGAAATTTGACTGCCAAGGAGCAAAACCCGACCAGGTAGAAATCCCCACCCGGTCGGGTAACATTTAACAACCGAAGAAGCAAGGAAATTGCCAGACCCGGGCGGGTCTCATATGCCACCCGGTCGGGTCAGACATGACCCGTGACAAATCGACGTGCAGAAACATGAGAACATGGCGGATTATCTGATTTTGACCGGACCCAGTCGGGTAGGCACTTGACCCGGTCGGGTACCCGGCCAAAGGTGTTGAAAAACACCTAGCTATAAATAACACACTTTTTCTTCTCTAAAAATCATCCCTTCTTCCATACTCTTAAGTTCAGTTTAGAATAACATTTCTTTATATTTTGCTAGCTATGTTTAGTCTCCAAATGAGGAGCTAAACTTCCATTTCTTGGTGTTGATCTTGAAGCTTGTTGATTATTAAAGTTGTGAGTTATTTTCTTAACTTCTTCCCTTGAATATTAATTATTAGTTCTTTCCTTAATACTATCTCTACATTAATGTTGGGGAGTGTTGCTAAGATGACAATTAGTTAACATCTTGACATTAGTTAGAGTAGTATTTTCTTCCTCTATATTAATGTTGGGGAGTGTTGCTAAGATGACACCTAGTTAACATCTTGATATTAATTATAGTAGGATTCATCTCCTTTAATAATATTCTTCCTTGAATATAAATTAATTCCTATTCATATTTCATATTAATATTTTGAACATTACTTAAAGGATCAACTAATTTTGTTTCATATATTAATTATTACTAGAAACGATCGACGAACCGATGGTTAATCGTTGATGGTTTCACAAGTAACTTCAGTTTATTAATGCACGGTCGTGGTTGATAAACTTAAGAGGGATTAATTTTGTTGATTAAACCGAAACCGTTGTGTTGAGGTTATCAATCTCAATTGATTTCATCAAGGAGTTAAGATATTAAATGCTACTATCAAGTCGGTATATGGCGGTGTTCTATACTTGACTAATAATAATGGTTATTAATGAACGGTCATTGTTAATAACTACCCTCGATGAATTGGATATACTCCTTGATTGAGTATTCGAGAGGGAATAAGTTATAGATATAACAATGATCGACTAAAATATATCAACAAGTGGAAAGTAGCAATGCCAAGTTCTTTTATCTTTGAATTAAAACACATATAGGTTGTTCATCTTAGTTTTTAAATTAAATCATTCAATCCCAAAACCCCCCTTTTATTTACTAGTTTCATAAAAAGAAAAGTATTCATTTCCCTGTGGATACGAACTCTACTTCACCTATACTGCATATTAGTGCTAGTATTGAATTTATTTTGACGCACCGTGACAAAGTGCTCGTCTCTAACTGTCAGAAATTTTTTCGGCGCCCCACCACCACCAACAACACTACGGCCTAACACCACCGCCCTGTCCCCAGCCACCGCTGCTGCCCCATCCACCACCACCGCCCATGTCCCGTCCACAACCATCACCCCTGCCCCTGCCCCCTCCCCTATCATCGCCGCCTACTCCAATCCCCAGTCCCTCCCCTCCCCTAGCTCTACGCGCTAGATCAATACTGAGCCCCCACTCCCAGCCCCTAGCCCTACGCACCAGATCCCGACCCAGCCCTTGTACCCAGCACCCTCCCCTTCTTCGCCCCCTATCAGTCCCTCAGGTCCCTCTCCGACTTCGAGGACGGTGGATCCACCGGATCTGGGACCCGCCGCGCCAAACCTGAGCCGTCATGCACTGTGGTTGGCTGATCCTTAACCGGCAGCGGTCGATCGCCGCCCTCGATGCTCGCCCATCGGATTCACAACCCTCAAAGCTCGGATTTAGCCCCTTTGTAGTCAGAATCGCCCCATTTGCGCTTAGTCAATGGGAATCGCGTCATCCCTGCAGCTAGATAGAAACAGAGGACTTGCAACGGTGGCGCGAGAGAAAGATGACGGATGAAGTTCGAAGATGAGAGGCGATGAGAAAAGATGAGAGGCGATGGACTGATCGAAATTTCAGATGAAGGCTTCGTTCAATTTGCTAGGCTTGGGAGTTGACGGAAGAGATAGGTTTTTTATTTTAGAAATGATTAATTTTTTGTCCAGATTAAAAACAGTGATATTTTTGTCCATTAAAGCCCGCAAGTGATATATATTTTTGCCATTCTTTTGTTATTATAGTTCAATCCGAATTCTAGGAAATAATCTTTTGTAACATTATTTTCAAGTGTTATCAATATCAATATCTTTGGATTGATTCACGGTCTGATTTGGATAAGATATAGAGTCCAAGAAGTATTTTTCATAACAAAACTCCGTATTAATAATATGAATGACGTACTATTCTTTCATTGGTTTGGGTTGTTTAACCTTACCCAAAGAGAAAAACCCAAAACCCCAAAAAGCTAAATCACACATATAATTACGAACCTAATTTAAAGCCTAGTCGGATGGAACCCAATTTGGGATACATCTTAATGAAACGCTCACTCTAGTCTCCACCTTTTAAAACAATCGGATAGTAATATACGCCGTAATTAAAGCCATTAATTAATCTTGACAAAACGTACTTAAAAAGGAAACAGCTTCAATACGTTGATTAATAGGCAGAATTTATTGCTACTCTTTAGTGAGCGAATGGAAATGGCCTTATTATGATCTTGATCCGAATTAAATCAAGAAAACAGAAAACCCGGAAATGTTTCAGGTTCACCAAGATTCCTTCCAAGACCTCGTAAAAGCATGGAAATACAACCGCTTCCAGAACCTTAAACCGTCCGATGTTTTCTTCCCAAGTTCCGTCAAAGGTTTCATAGGAATCTGTCTTCTCGCCGCAATTTCTTTCTTTTCTTTCCTCCTCTTCTGGGAATTATGGGTCAGTCGTTTCCATTTCCACCCACACATATTCATACACAGCCCTACAACCACGGAGTTGAAGATCACTAGTCATGGCGGCGGCCACCACCACCACCCGACGAACATTTCACATATTCTTTTCGGCATCAGCGGCTCCTCCGGGACGTGGGATGCTCGGCGGCACTACTGTGAAGTCTGGTGGAAACCGGAGGTGATGCGAGGATTCGTCTGGCTCGATCAGCCGCCGCCGGAAAATGAAACATGGCCGGAAACTTCCCCGCGCTTCCGTGTTTCACAGAACACGTCCAGGTACGGCGTAGGGTTTACCCATGCTTTACACAATTTAAAATTACGAGTATAACCTTATTGTCAATATTGTGCAACTACGTATTTTTTTAATAACCTTAATTGTGTATATTTTTAGTTTGACCACATGGTAACAGTTTTCTATGCCTCGAAATAATAAGGAATCCATGACTAAAATAAAGTAAATTTACCCAATTTGATAATATAATAATGACTTTAAGGTAAATAACTGTAGAAACTTTTTATGTATAATTATATTTTAATAATATGGGCATTTTGACTTTTTTGAAATAAAATAAAGTAACTTTACCCAAAGTAACATATACTCCGTATACACTTAGTTATTACTATTTGCATTAATATTATTAGTAATTAAGTAACTTCTTTTTTGACCGAAAAAGTTTAATCCATTTCCTCAATCCAAATGTTCTTAATAATTAACTAACATCTTGAAAATACTTCATATGCAATGAACATTTGATCACTATTACAAAATCATAAAGTAATAAACCATCCTTTTTTATTAATTGTAAGAGTTCGACAGTAATATTCCATCATTTATGATAAATTAATGATCAAGAGAAACTATAAATAATTATGTAGCATGAAAATAAATTTGGAGCGTTAAAAGATG